AATTGTAAGTAGATGAGTTACGCGGATAATCTCATCAGGTATGCTATTAATTGCTCTTGCTGTCGAGTTGAGTGTTATGTCTAGCTGGGTCAAGACCGTTCATCATGACAGAAACAGACACGCGCCACTCAGCTGGTGCAACTTGGTCAATGTCCGGAAGTAGATTCCATCTTGTTTTCTTGGTGCGAGGACCCGGCACCTCTGCATATTGAACCCATGACCCGTGGCTTATTGAGCCATTTTCGTAAGATCGAGTGGACTGCGAGCACGCGGTTAAGCTTCTAGAGAGGTGTTGCTATATGTCTACATCTCAGTTCTCTCTATCTCTGTGAGAGTTGAGATAGTGATGCTCAATGCTCTCTTCGTCTTCTATCTCTGCCTTCAAGGACCTCGAGTAGGATACTTCGACGTCTGACTCGTTTACGGCCGATGTGAAGATATGTTCGCAGGAACAGATTGTATCTACACACAGTTCGCTTTATTTGGCGGGGAATTCGAGGTTGTCTGGTCTGGTCGAGGCTTCACTGGATGAGACAGAAGGCCAGCACGTAGTGTGGCAGAGCAGTGCTTCTTTTTCTTCTTCTTCTTTTTGGGGCGACTCCGTTTGGCTCTTGGTTTTGCGCAGCTTGGGCCTGGCTTTGCTGCTGCTATCGGTCTAATTGCTACTATGATCAGTGGGAATGACGGGCATGGAATTGTGAAGTGGTTCGAACTCATTGTCATTGTCGTCATTGTTGTCAGTAGTATCGTTCAAGGCAAAATCTTGCATGCGGAGAGAATCATCCAGGAGGAGGAAACTTACGAAATGTCAGCACTACGCCAGTGGTGAATCCAAGTATGGATTCCGTCTCTGATGCTTTGTGTGCAACCATGTAATGGATGACTGAGAGAGCGTTTGTTGCGGAGATAACGGGGAGTGGACTAATCACCTCCGAGACTATTTGAGCATCTATCGAGAGATTTCATTGAAACCTGATTGGAGACTAGATAATGTTGTGAAGTTGATTGCCGAACGAGCGATCTGAGAAGATTGTATGTGATGAGGCCCTCAAGCTTGAGCAATAGTTAAAGAGTATATAGAAGTCTGTCTCTACTGCAGAGCACCATGAGTAAAGAAGGCTGTCTGGATTTCGCTGATAAGGAGACTAGTTCTGCACTTGCGCAAACATAGTGGCCAGTGTCAGTAGACTCAATGTGGCCTCTGGGAACAGGGATCGACATTCAAGGATTTACACATCTATTTTCACTGTGAAGAGGCACATACAGTTAGCATTATTGGAGTGGGTGAGGTTTGCATGGATGCCTTCCAATAGTCGGAAGCTTCATGTGTTGGGTTGCTGATCGTCGTTGGAGCTTCTTCTCTTCTTTGTCGTGTTGTTGCAGACGCTGAATGCCTGGGGGCAATCTCCGATTGGATCCTTCGAACGGGACGACGGCTGGAAGGCATCTTACTTCAACAAACTCACGTAACAGTATTGGTACCGTCTTCAGATCAGAGAGCTACTGTATAATAGGAACAAGAATGCTAGCCGCTGAAATCTTCAGCTTAAATTCGTTTCATGGGAGATTGTCAAATCGGGTTTACTATGGATTAGAGAGAGCTAAGATGAGGATGGGGACAGAGCTCGAGGGGAGGGCACGATGCAGGGAGATGCGTTGAACCGTGATTTTGCCTGGCAATGCATGCATGCATGGAGGGTCTTCGAAGAAGTGTCAATTGAGCAGGTTCTGACAGCTTAAGCTGGCTAAAATCTGACGAGACGTGGATTTTGGATCTTCGAACTTCACACCTCCACTCATCACGGGAAGGTTGTTCCGGTTCCTCCTGGGGGTTTTAGAGTGCAAGTGTATGTCAATTATCTACGGATTTGTTCTTGTGCTTACTACCTCTAGCCAGCTACCAGTAGCTAGCTACCAGTAGCTAGCTACCGTAGTATACTTGTTGTCACGAGTCTGGAGGTCTCCAAAACACACTGCAAAGTGCTAAAATTTGCTGGAATTGACAGTCTAGCCAGCGCAAGCAAGCAAGCGCAAGCAAGCACAAGCACAAGCACAAGCACTAACCAGCTAGCCTCTACAATGTCATGTAGAAGTGATGAATAGAGTTGTCGAGTGACGAGTCGAGCCAATAGCTGCCAGTCTGTTCATGACTGCTGATGTATGCACCGGACGGTCACCGGGCCCGCTGCAGTGGCTATAGATGCTGCCGCGGCGTCTGCCCTTCTTGCTCTATACCATCGTGACACGGAGAGCTCCACGTGCTACAGCGCGTCTGTTATGCTAGAAGTATGTGTTAGAAAAACAGACCTCTTGTATGGGAGGCGTTCAATTAACATTGGTAGCAAAATGGCCCTCTTGGGGAATCATTCAAGTCTGGACTTGTTGCAGTTGTAGGGCAAGGTGTAGAACCAAACATGTCCACAGTGGGGGCTGTGTTGAGTGCAATTTGGTTGGCTCCATTCCCCCAGGCACACAGGTCTTGGTTGAAACTAGACCCACGGAACATGTAAGCGAAAGTGGTTCCCTTTGCAACGTTCCAACCGGATACATCTTGATTGAAGTTACTTTGATCAAACATTGAAGCAAAATTTGACCCCTGGATGACATCCCAGCTACTGAGGTCTTGATTGAAGTTTGCTATTGAATGCATGATGGCACATCAGCCAATAGTATGAGTAAGAATAAATGTATTGAATCAGTCAGAGAAGGGCACCACACAGAAAACTCACTGGCTAGATAAAACATGTTGCCAAATTGAATTGCATTCCCAACATTCCAGGAACCAAGCGGCCGGTTGAAGTTAGCTGAGCAAAGTGTGAGGCTCAGCTTTCTAGGCAGGAGATAGCCAACAACCTCAAAGTCTCAACATAACTTACTGGCTTGTTCAAATGCAGAATCAAAACGAGTGACCCTGCTCACATCCCAGGAGTTAAGCTTGCGGTTGAAGGAAGAGGCTAAGAAATAGTTGAAAGCAAAACAACATGCTTAAGGATGTGCTAGCTTGAACAAGATACAGCAGTGAACAAAGATATAGCAACTCACCCGCAAACAGGGAGTTCTGCATATGCAGATTGTATAGGTCCCACCAACATATTGAGTTTTCAAAACTGCAGAAAAATCACAAAGCATTCAAAACTCATGATCTTACCATAGACATGACATTTGATACGTCCCATGTTGAAATATCCTGACTGAATACACTACTTCCATAGAACATTGCTTCCATACTGGTGGCTGCGGATGTGTCCCAAGAGGACAAAGGCTGGTTGAAACCAGATGCTCCAAAGAAGGTCCTGTGGAAGTTAGTCACCTGGCTTGTGGTCCACGTGTCAATGTTCTCATTAAAAGTTGTCATGCCCATAAACTGTGAAGGTGTCAAGGTTAGGGATTTATCATGTATGAACATTGCAGGGTAAAGTAGAATGACATACCAACGAGGCAAAATCTGAGACTTTGGAGACGTCCTGCAAGGGATCATAAAAAGAGACGTAAGCTGCGTTTGAGCAACGTCATCTCTCACGTGAAAATAGAAGCATAGTGCAAACACAATTCCAGAAGGACAAGGCTTACCCAAGTGCCAATTGCTCCTATAGCAAACAAGAAGGCATAGAAGATCAGGTCAACATTCATTGCAAATAGTATAGACGTACAAACTGCAGGTCAATCTCATACACACCATATGGACTTGTAGGAGAGTAGTCACCATCGCCAATTGCCGTTATAAGTGTTGGACGATCAAAAACGAAACCTCCTGCAGTTGGTGTGCTGGTTGGAACCGGTGTTGGAACATTTGTTGGTGCCTTGGTAGGTGCTTTTGTAGGTGCCTTGGTAGGTGCCTTAGTGGGAGCCTTGGTTGGTGCCTTTGTAGATGCTTTGGTTGGTGCTTGAGTGGGGGCATTGGTTGGAGCTCTGGTTGGTGCCTGGGTAGGTGGCGATTTATGGGAGCCTTGTCGGGCTTTAGTAGGTGCCTTGGTCGGTGCTTGAGTGGGTGCCTTGGTAGGAGCTTGAGTGGGAGCCTTGGTCGGTGCTTGAGTGGGTGCTCTGGTGGGTAATTTTGTTGGTGCTGTTGTTGGAGTTTCTGTGGGTGCCCGGGTTGGCACCATCGTTGGAGACTTGGATGGTGTTCCTGTTGGGAAGTTGGTTGGTTCTTTTGTGGGTGCTCTTGTTGGATTGCCTGGTAAAACTGTTGGTATGAGTGTAGTTGGACTTGCAGTAGGTGCTTGAGTGGGAGCCTTTGTCGGTGCTTGAGTGGGCCCCTTGGTCGGGGCTTGAGTGGGTGCCTTGGTAGGAGCTTGAGTGGGAGCCTTGGTCGGTGCTTGAGTGGGTGCTCCGGTGGGTAATTTTGTTGGTGCTGCTGTTGGAGTTTCTGTGGGTGCCCGGGTTGGCACCATCGTTGGAGACTTGGATGGTGTTCCTGTTGGGAAGTGGTTGGTTCGTTTGTGGTGCTCTTGTTGGATTGCCTGGTAAAACTGTTGGTATGAGTGTAGTTGGACTTGCAGTAGATGGGATGGCAGTGCTAGGAATGGCCGTACTGGGAGTACTTGTAGTAGGACTACTTGTAGTGGGATTGGCAGTTGTAGGAGTGTCTGTTGGTACGGCCGTTGGAGATCTGGATGGTGTTCCTGTTGGGAAGTTGGTTGGTTTTTTGTGGGTGCTCTTGTTGGATTTCCTGGTAAAACTGTTGGTATGAGTGTAGTTGGAGTTGCAGTGGATGGGATGGCAGTGCTGGGAATGCCAGTACTGGGACTACTCGTAGTGGGACTGGCAGTTGTAGGCTGGTCTGTGGGTACCTGGGTTGGCAAGATCGCTGGAGACGTGGTTGGTGTTGGTGTTCTAGTTGGGAACTTGGTGGGCCCCTGTGTGGGTAATCTTGTTGGCTGGCCTGATAAAATGGTTGGTATGAGAGATGGGCTATTCCTTGGGAATGAGGAAGGCTCAGATGGGCTCGTGCCAACATTAGGACCTGAGGATGGAGTGTCTGATTGCTGAATTGAAGGTTTGATGGATAGAGATTGACCAAATGATGGAGCCCCAGATGGCATTGAGGATGGATTGATGCTCGGGTTTGTAGATGGTACGGCCAAACTGGAGGGGATCGTGGATGGACCAGAGCTTGGATTTGTTGACAATACTGATGGACTTGAAGATGGTGTCAAAGATTTGGACGGCATCGAGGACGGACCAGAGATTGGATTTGTTGAAGGCAACAGTGATGATGAGGCTGAAAATACTGAGGGCAGCACGGATGGACTGGTGCTTGGTAATGAGCTTGGTTGCAAACCAGGAGATACTGATGGAGCCTGGCTGTTGCTGGGATTGGCACTTGGCGAAGAGCTAAGTTGGACACTGGGGGTTGCTGATGGAGAAGAACGAATCTGCGGATCCAACGTCCAAGACAAGGACAATGACTCAGCAATAGCCCCAGTAGATTGGATTTGAACATTGTACTCCTGTAGAAACTCTGCCACCGCCACTATGAGGTCATCATCCAAGGCCACTGGACTAGACGTCACTGTGAATTCCAAGTAAAAGCTTCCACTTGAAGTCAAGACAGGTTGTTCAACCTGTATGCTTTCAATTGTTGACCCAGAGCCTGGAAGGGAGTTGTATGCACCCACAAAGGCATCCAACATATCTTGCTCTAGCCATCCTGATGAAGGCCCACTGAAGGATATGAAATAGTCTTCCTGCACTGGTGGTGACACAATGCTTATTGTGACTTCGAAGGGTGTCCCTTGCATGCCAAGAAGAGTTGGCACTGCCCGAAGAACAAGAGAATTTGTTGTGGTTACCAGAGTTTGACTGGGGCGATAGTTTCCATCGCCATCTTGCCCTGCCAAGCAATAAGGGTACACAGTCTCAGTCCCCATCATGGCACCATTCTCATAGAACGTTACACCATCCAGCCTTACTGGGTTTGTGATGACACGCATATTTAGGTTGGGGATTGGCTGATTCTGCAACATTCGAGAATTTTGCTGGCGGCGGACATCATGGAGATCAATCACGTCTCCATCGGTAATCTCTCTAACATCATTACCAGTATCCGCATTCACGAGCACAAACCCAACAATTTCAGCTGTAAGCGAACCAAGCACTGCAACAGCCTGAGCGCCACTGGATGCTACTGCTGTTGATATTGCTTGGACGACCTTCGGAGTGTGTTCATCATCGAACAAGATAGTGGCAATCCCGGAAGGACGCGATGAGACACTGTACTCAACTGCAATCATACCACTTTGCAAGGGTGTATCACCCACGACAGTCACTCCAACTATGACTGGTCCTGCATCCAGATTCAGGGATTCGCATGAATCAATTAAGACTTCACCAAGATCATGAATCTCCAAAAGCCCTCCTGTTGTCCCATTAAAAGTTACAAAGAAGGTTTCCTCGACCATATTCCAGTCATCTAACGTTTCCAAGACATCCACTACCTCAAGCCCTTGGTTTGTGATTCTGTCGGCAAGCATAGATTCAAAGGTTGGCGAGTTGTCCTGAGATAGAATTTGCTCCGCAATGTCGACCTCTTGGTTGTCATTTACAGCAAAGTCAATTGCCACAATGTTGTATGTTTCGCTGAGTTGAGTTTGTGCTGCAACTGATATGTCATTGGCATTGATCTGATTGTTTTCCAGGTTGGTTGAGTCAATGGTAGCAGCAACAAAGGCTGAAACAAGAGGGCCCTGAGGTAGATTGCCACTGATAGGCGTTTCTCCAGTGAGGACAACAAAAACATGACTTGTGTAGACTATTCTGCCTGTGGGATCATCTGTTGGTTCTTGTGTACGCTCCGGGGTTGGTTCATTGGTTGGTTCAGGGGTGGGCTGGGTAGTTCTGGTGGTGGGTTCATTGGTTGGTTCCTGTGTAGGTTCAGGGGTGGGTTGGACAGTTGGCTCTGGAGTTGGATCAGGTCTTGGTTTACGTGTAGGCTCATAAGTGGGTTGTGGTGATGGCGCAAGGGTAGACTCAACGGTGGGTGTGAGTGTGGGCTGAGGTGTTGCAGTCCCAGGTATTGGTGGCAAGACTGTAGGAGCATTGCCATTGTTGTTGGAAAATGATTTGAGAATTTCAACTGCTGAGGGAGACAGAGTTTGTTTCTCGATACCTGTGGGTGTAGCTGGGGCACTTGGAAGTATTATTGTGGGTCTATTTGTTGCCAAAATGGAAACCTCAATAGGTCCAGTAGATCCACTTGGAGGGCCGCCTATAGTTGGAATGGCAGCAGCAGGGACATTGGTAGTCATATCTGGACCAGGAGGACTACCAAATCCAGACTGAACTGTTGGACTTTGTTGGTTTTCACCAGGCGCCACATTGGTAGATGCTGCAGGCGAGAGAGGTATGTTTCCCATCTGATTACTAGGAAAAGCAGTGGTGGAAGAAGGTGTGGACCCGCTGGCATCTGTTGGTGATGTATAGTTGTTGTTTTGGGAAGCCGGGGCTTGACTGCTGGCATTTGCGGTTGATGGAGCTTGGTTGTTATCATTGGTGATGGAAGGTGCTTCTGTGCTATTGTCATTTGAGGTGGATGGAGCCTGGTTGCCTGGGTTGTTGCTGGTTGTGGGTGTACTACTTGGGTTGTTTTCATGGTTCCCATTTGAAGCTGATGGGGCCTGGTTGTCGTCTCTGTCTTTGGTTGATGGTGCCTGGTTATCTTGGCTATTGTTCAGGTTTGGAGTTGATGGGGCCGAAATGTTTGCAGTTGTAGCAGGAGGCTGGTCCTCATGAGTAGCAACTGAGGTTTCCTGGTCATTCGGCGCTGTTTCATTGCCTCTACCACTGTTTTCTGGAATATTGCTTGTAATGGGAGGAATCGCCTTGCTGGGAACCTCCATCTTCTCTGGCATAGTTCCTTGGCTGTCAATCATCCCATCTGGCATGATTCCATGGCTTTCAACAATCACATCTGGGTTGTTTGGATCTACAGCATCAATATACACAATGGGAGTATTCCGTGTCTTGGGTGTGGATTGTTGTGGGTGGGTTAGGGTAGGACCATCCACTTTCTTAGAGGTGTCATCGATGGTAGCGGCAATCTCCGGTGACATTCGAGTAACCAAATCATGGAACCTTAGATTGATTTCTGTATCGTCGTTTGCCTCGTTCGGAGGACCTCTAGTTGGACCCTCATCAAAGAGGGGGTTGTTATCTGGGCAGCCGTTGCAGCTGACATTGGATTCCCAGATGGTGAGTGTCAAAGGGATGTCTCCTGCTGTGATATTTTCTGCCTCTAACAGTTCATTGCCCAGCATGAAACGATCATATTCATCATCACATCCATCAGTCTGGTTATTGAAGATGTCACGGAATGCCTCTTCCAGGTTGTCTTTGTTGGCATTGACCTCCTCGGGAGTAACGTTCTGCACAACTATGCGTGTAATGCCCGTCTTGACCTCATAATCATCAGCAGAGGAGCTGTTGCAGAAAGGTCTGGAGTAGATGTCAGCTGGTGGGATTGCACCGGGAGTCCTAGTGGCCACCACTGCCGCAGTGATGGCAATGCCAGCTGCCATTGCCACAGCAGTTGCAGTAGCAAGTGTTGCTCCTTGGACTGCCGGAGCGGCCTGCACTGCTAGAGGCCCAGGAGCAACATCGGGCTCATCTAAGCCCAACAATCGCTTACACCCCAAGGCACCTAATAGATAACTGATGAGAAGGATTGGCCACTTGAATAGCCACCAACAGAGATTGTATAGAGTCAAAGTGCTCTTGGTAAAACTGTTACGACCATCTCGTCCAATCTGCTCCCAATCAATCGAACCGGCCGACTCATTGTTGGACTCTGCTTCGACTAGCTCTGCAACTACCTCCTGTAGCTCAAACTGGACACCCTTGAAGTTGTTGCTCCCGATTGACTGGCTCTGTAGAGACGCCAAGCTTACACCCATTTCTTCTGCAGAATAAGTGAAGCTCTGGTTCGCTGCATCATTAAAAAGGGACTGTGATGTTTCATGTTTCGGCTCTTCTGGAGAGGTTGGAGGATCAGACTCCTGCGGTGATCCCCAATCGGTTTCCGGTTCTTCTTTTTCTGAAACCATACTTGACGGCTGAGAAGTCGTCTGTGGTATCTGTGTGAGTTGCAGCTCGAGATCGCCGAGTACCTCTCTAGAAGCTAGAGAACGGACGGAAAACGCGTAGACTGTGCGTACTCAACAATAAGCAGGACTTGTGTCTGCGATCTCAGTGCTCGAGGACACTACAACCTGAAGCAGTATGGACTTTGAATGGGTTTCTTAAGAGACGAAGGAAGGATAGGATGTGGTTTGAGAGTGGACTATCTCGAGATGGTGGATAGCTGATACCCTTCATTGAGTGTCTATGCCTGAATGTGAATGGATGCCAGCGGTTTGGGTCAATTAGTAGTCGTCAATTGCAGGACCGCAGGGCTAACGCATCGATGATCGAGAGGTCATTTAAGTCGAAAAGACCTTATGCATGAATCTCTATTCTCAAACAGTACTAGCTAGTATAACCACTGGTGAAAATGAAAGTCCGGTGCCCGGTGAGCATTATTGTGCGGTTCTTTGGTCTATTTTAAAATAGCTAGCTAGAGGGAAGTGATTGGATGCTACGGTGCAATACAGAGCTACCCTGGAAGCCAGTTTCAAAGAGGTAGATCTGGTAAATGTAGGGTTAAAGATACAGTTTAATATGCATATTTATTTGAATTAATGAATGGCTATTACCGCATCTACCTCTATTCAAAGCTGTCTTCCGGGTGTAGAGGCAGGGAGTGGCTGTGCAGGTTGGAGGCAACACGTGGCGCAAGTGTGATTCATACCCATCCTGAGCTCGAGCAATGTGAGCAGCACAGAGGAGTACTCCGAGTAGGAATTAATAATATCCAGCTTCGTGATCTTGATGAACATGCGACATCTATTTAGTCTGTCCCTCCAAGAGACTCAACATCTCAACATCAAACGGTACCGGTATGCCCTCTTATTAGAATGGTTTCAAGAACCGGTGATTCGATTCGATTCTCGCCAGGAATGCTACATAATGCTACATACTGTACATGTGCTCAGTACCGGTACTGTACAAGACAAGTGAAACAGTGAAACAGCAGTAGTATTACCAAGGCTGCTCTTTCAGGTACCGGTATGCGGAACTTCAAAGACTTCCTTGACACTCTTCGGACTATTAATAGTGCACTCAAGTACACGTACCGTACCGTACATGTACGGTACCCAGAGTACTGTAGACGATTTCAGCAAAGAGTGATCTGGATTTTTAATAAGTCAGCGGAAGCTGCGATACCTCGCAGCAAGACAGATAGAAGAGGAGGATCATGTTCGAGATTGCACCCATCTTTCAAGCAGCCCTGGCGACAACACCGACTACGTGTCGTGTGTTGCCGCCCGGTATCATTCATTCCCTTATGCAACCTTCTTTATTAATAGCCCTGGCGACAACACCGACTCGTCGTGTGTTGCCGCCGCTACTCTATAATTTACAGCTGCCATTCCCTTATTGTAACTCTAATTTACACCCTGCTGGCTTATTGTGCTGTTGTGCTGATTGCACTAACCTTAAATTTAATGATTTATTCCTACCCTAACTTGTATGAACCATCAATATTTCAGTTCTGTTGGCTTATGACTATCTCATCCTTATACTTTGGCTTCACCGGAATAGGAAATAGAAATAGAAAATAGGAAATAGGAAATAGGAAATAGGAAATAGGAAATAGCATTAAGGGGTTGAGAACTCAGGCAGTTTACCTGCCGAGGTAAAGTTAATTTTACTGAAACAGGTCATCAACCTCAAAACCCGACCACCAGGTACGTATCGTACAGTGTACTAGTACGGTACTCGTATAAGTCAGCGGGAGCTGCGATACTCGGCAGAAAGACAGATAGAAGAAGGAGGATCATGTCAAGATTGCACCCATCTTCAAGCCAGCCCTGGCGACACACCCGACTACGTCGTGTGTTGCCGCCCGTATCATTCATTCCCTCATTGCAACCTTCTTTATTTTAAAAGCTAGCCCTGCGACAACACCCGACTACGTCGTGTGTTGCGGCCCGCTACTCTATAATTACCAGCTGCCATTCCCTTATGTAATTGTATTCTTTGTAGCCCGCTAACATAATTTACAGCTGTCATTTATGTAATTGTATTCTTTGTAGCTTCTGCAGCTTATTGTGTTGAGTGCACTAACCTTGATAATCATGATTTATTCCTACCCCTAAATTTGTAGAACCTTCAATTTCCAGTTTTGTTGGCTTAAGACTATCTCTATCCCTATATTTGGCTTCACCGGAATAGGAAATAGCATTAAAGGGGTTGAGAACTCAGACAGTTAACCTGCCGAGGTTAAATAGGGAAATAGCATTAAAGGGTTGAGAACTCAGGCAGTTTACCTGCCGAGGTAAACACAGGCTTGGGCATCTGGGTCTGGGGTTACTTTTTGCAGAGCAAAGCAGAACGAGAGAAAGGAAGGAAGATTCAGAAGCCAATCTTTTCTTTTGTTGCCATCAATTTTGCCACTGCCTCGATCCCTTCTATGCACAGTTGTTGAAGTATTTTAAGCCACGAGAATGCAGTAGCATGACGGACGGCAGTCCTTCGGCGATTCCTTTCTTTGGGAAGAATGAGAAAGCATTGAGCGAAGAACGCGCCGTGTGACTTTGACGGTTCGAAGGCACGTGAGCAAATGCAGAAGTCTGCAAGGCATTCACTGCAATCAGGATTTTTTGTGTGCCTCCCAAAGCGTGTTCCGTGTGGAGCAACAAGACCCCCTCAATGACGAAACACCGTCAAAGAATCCACAGTGTATGGTGGAGGCTCCAGCCCATGCATTGGTCCCTCAGAACAACACAGCAGCAGTGCAGTGGCGACGACGCCACGGTCTTCCTATATCCAAGAAGCCGGATGGATCAGACCCGTGACTTGGCCATGCATTGTTAGGCACATAACAATACTACCACTGTACTAACACCAATCATCATTGGCTGGTATGACCACACTATATAGTAATTCTCGCCACAAGGTACCGTGGAAAGGGAAGAAGAGAGCATGACAGCAATTGTAAGCAGCAGAACAGAATACAAAAACCTTACCAATCTTTCTCACTGTATTCGAGCACCACACTCTCGAGCTAGGGGAGATGGTGACATGCATATATCCGGTGAGGAATGCCAAACATGAATTGCTAATGAATTTGTGGGTTTGGCCGAATGGATTCAGGGAGAGATCCTGTGATGAAGTTCAAGTTGGTTTACGCAATGATGATGTTGGCCATTGGGTGCCATGGTTCGGAAGATAACACTCTGCGGCAGTTTTATAGTCGAGTCGAGTCGATGCAACAGCTCTGATAGTGCGAGCTGTAGATTGTACTCAGTGCCGGTTCCCCTAGTTCATGTCCGCGAAAGGATCTAGCTCGTAACCACGCCTCGTCTAGATCTGAGGGCCTCGTGTCTGAGGTGCAGCAGGATGACGAATGATCCGTGCCACATGCCTAGCTAGTTTCGCCTCTGTCCATGCAGACCGAATGTAGCACGCAAGGGATTGAGGTACTTGGTGAGCGCCTCGATGGAACTGCGCATTCGGATGGTAGAGCGACGGACAGCATACTCAGCTCGAAGGGCATCCAGTAGATCCATTCTGGTCACAAGCCTGCCCACCACGCGTCGGAGGTGAGGCTGGGCTGTTCCGTCGATAGCAGCGAGACTGATACCATACCAAGTTTGTGCATGGTCTTGTGGCCTTGGCGATAGGATCAACGCGATGGGCTGGTTTCTGGGTTGACAACGACTACCACGTCATTGTTCTGCTGAGCCTGAACGGCAGGTCCCTTCTGAGCAGGAGGTAGGCATTGGGTCTGCAAGGCAGTGCGATCTTGGTTGACCGAGGCAGCCAGTTGAGCGTCGACGTTGACGGCTTGCTGCTGGATCGTTGAAACGCGGCTAGCTGATCATGACGATCTTGAGCCCAAGGAGCAGAAGCTGGAGTACGGTTATCGGTTTAGGGTACTAGTGGTATCAAGAGCTTGTGGTCGTCAGGCAAGGGATTGATTGGACTCCACGGGAATGAGAAGTCACCACAGGCACGGAAGGAAGTTTCTTCCAACATGACAACCAAATTTGCCGACCACAGAATCAAGTAACCGGCGTTGAAGGAGTGAAACAAAAGCAACAGCGTTCGGCGCAATAGTACCTTTAGATTTAAATACTATTTATCAATGTGTGAAACTGAAACAAGTAACCGGCGTGGCAAACTGAGGCAGACTGTCCTCGACGAGCTCGAACGGAGGTGAGCTGTCATCCTGCAGGTCTTGCTGGCAAACGGTCTTGAGGCAGGGATCACACTCAGGTACTCCAGCGACGTCAGCAAGACTCATAGAAGCAGCCTTGCGGGAGAGGACATTCAGGTTCTGTGCTCGTGAGTACATCTGCCGGATGCGTAGTCTCCACGGGAAACGGATCAAAGGTGGTAATCTGATCGGCTTCACGGGCTTGGTGCACTACAGTCGTATGCTAAAAGCTAGGCAGATATCTTTGAGTTGGTTAATGGTTTTGATTGTCTAGAAGATAGGAGACTCCGTACAATGACCTCCCAACGCCGCCACTTTACTCCGTTTGTCGTCTCTGCTGATGGCCTCCTTGGGGCCAAAGCTGGGGCACTCGCCAAACGTATTTCCTCTTTGCTCGCTGCAAAGTGGGAATATCCTTTTGGGAGACTGACAGTCGTGACCAGCTCCATGCGATACAGTGCATACGCTGTGTTAGAAGTATGTGTTAGAAAAACAGCCCTCATGGGGAGGCATTCAATTAACATGTGTAGCAGAATGGCCCTCTTGGGGAAGCATTCAAATCTGGATTTGTATTTGTTGGGCAAGGCGTAGCGTCAAACATGGCCGCGGTGGGGGCTGTGTTGAGTGCAATTGGGTTGGCTCCATTCCCCCAGGCACACAGGTCTTGGTTGAAAGCGCTGCTGTAGAACATGGAGTTGAAAGTGGTTCCCTTTGCAACATTCCAACCGGATACATCTTGATTGAAGTTACTTTGATGAAACGTTGAAGAAAATCTTGCCCCCTTGCTGACATCCCAGCTACTGAGGTCTTGATTGAAGTTTGCTATATTGAATGAATGGCGACACATCAATAGTATATGTGAGACTAGATGGACTGTTATTCATGAGGAGAAGGATCGACTCCTAACAGAAAACTCACTGGCTTGATAAAACATATAGCCAAATTGATTTCCATTCCCAACATTCCAGGAACCAAGCGGCTGGTTGAAGTTTGCTGAGAAAAGTGTAAGACTCAGCTTTCTTGGCAGGAGATAGTCTTTACTCCCAGTAGTCTTAACGTAACTTACTGGCTAGTTCAAATGCAGAATCAAAACGAGTGACACTGCTCACATCCCAGGAGTCAATATTGCGGTTGAAGGAGGAGGCTACAGAAAATGGGGGCAAGCACGCAAAACAGTATGCTTTAGGGTGTGCTGGCTTCTTGTACAAGATACAGCAGTGAACATCGACATAGCAACTCACCCCCAAACATGAAGCCCTGCATATGCAGATTGGGTCCCACCATCTTGAGTTTTCAAAACTGCAAGAATATCCCAACCAATTTAAAAAACCATGATCTTACCATGCCAACAACCTTTGATACGTCCCATGTGGAAATATCCTCATTAAATGTACTTCCATAGAACATTAAATTCATACTGGTGGCTGAGGACGTGTCCCAGGATGATAAAGGCTGGTTGAAACTAGATGTGCCGTCGAATGTCAAGCGGAAGTCAGTCACCTGGCTTGTGGTCCATGTGTCAATGTTTTCATTAAAAGTAGTCTTGGTTTTGAACTGTCAAGGAGTCAAGGTTAGGGGTTCTTCATGCAGGAACGGTTCATGTGTTGCATCTGTAAAGTAAAATGACATACCAATGCATAAAAATCTGAAACTTTGGAGACATCCTGCAATAAGGGATAGGAAAAGAAGCAGGCTGCATTTGAGCAACATCATCTCTCACGTGAAAATAGAAGCATAGTGCAAACACAATTCCAGAAGGACAACGCTTACCCAAGTGGCAATTGCTCCTACAGCAAACAAAAAGGCACACAAAGATCAGTCAGAGCAACATTCTGTGCAAAGGATATATACATTCAAACCGATCAATCGCATGCACACCATATGGACTTGAAGGAGAAAAGTCATCTGCGGCAATTGCTGCTAATAGTGTTGGCCGAGTGAAAACAAATCCACCTGCAGTTGGTGTGCTGGTTGGAACCGGTGTTGGAAACTTTGTTGGTGATAGTGTGGGTGATTTAGAAGGGGCCTTTGTTGGTGGTTTGCTCGGTGATTTTGTGGGGGCTTTGGTTGGTGCCCTTGTAGGTGATTTAGTGGGAGCCTTCGTAGGTGATCTAGAAGGAGGCCCAGTTGGTGCTTTACTCGGAGTTTTAGTTGAGGTCATTGTGGGAGCTTGGGTTGGCGCATTTGTTGTGGGTCAGTAGGAGCTCTAGTGGGTGCATTGCTGGGAGTTTTTGTTGGGGACTTTGTGGGTGCTCTCGTGGGGGAAAGTGTTGGCTGATTGGAGGGCTGTTGGGTTGGTTGGGCGGTTGGCTGATTCATGGGCTGTGGTGTTGGAAGGGTTGGGTTCTTTGAAGGTGCTGCAGATGGAGTGTTTGTTGGTGTCGATGATGGCGTTTGGGACGGCACCGATGTTGGACTTTCACTTGGACTTGTTGAGGGTAGATCAGGTGGAACCATGCTAGGAGTTGATGATGGAGCATTGCTTGTACTGATGCTTGGGTTTGCAGATGGTCCATATAATAGCCTAGTGCTTGGACTTGTGGAGGGTGAAATAGATGAACCAGGACTAGGACTTGAGGATGAAGAACCAGAAGGACCTGTGCTTGGGAATGGGGAAGGCCCCCCAGATGGGATCGTGGTTGGACTTGTTGAGGGGCCATCAGATGGACCGAAACTGGGACCTGAGGATGGATTGGCCGATGGCTGAATAGATGGTAAGATTGAAAGAGATGGACCTGACGACGGAGTTTTTGATTGCATTGAGGATGGATCAATGCTCGGTCTTGTAGATGGTATGGCCGAAATGGAGGGCATGGAGGAAGGACCAGAGCTTGGATTTGCTGATGGCAATAATGATGGGGGTGAAGATGGCGTCAAAGATTTTGAGGGCATGGAGGATCGACCAGAGCTTGGATTTGTCGATGGCAGCAATGATGGGCTTGATGATGGGGCTAAAGATACAGAGGGCAGTGTTGATGGACTGGTGCTTGGAACTCTGGATGGCCATGATGATGGGGTTGATGATGGAACTACTGGGACTGGCACTTGGTAATGAGCTTGGTTGCAAACTAGGAGATACTGATGGAGCCTGGCTGTTGCTGGGATTGGCACTTGGCGAAGAGCTAGGTTGGACACTGGGGGTTGCTGATGGAGAAGAACGAATATGCGGATCCAACGTCCAAGACAAGGACAATGACTCAGCAATAGCTCCAGTATCCTGGATTTGGATATTGTACTCCTGTAGAAACTCTGCCACCGCCACTATGAGGTCATCATCCAAGGCCACTGGACTAGACGTCACTATGAATTCCAAGTAAAAGCTTCCACTTGAAGTCAAGACAGGTTGTTCAACCTGTATGCTTTCAATTGTTGACCCAGAGCCTGGAAGGGAGTTGTATGCACCCACAAAGGCATCCAACATATCTTGCTCTAGCCATCCTGATGAAGGCCCACTGAAGGATATGAAATAGTCTTCCTGCACTGGTGGTGACACAATGCTTATTGTGACTTCGAAGGGTGTCCCTTGCATGCCAAGAAGAGTTGGCACTGCCCGAAGAACAAGAGAGTTTGTTGTGGTTACCAGAGTTTGGCTGGGGAGATAATTTCCATCGCCACCTTGCCCTGCCAAGGAATATGGGTACACAGTCTCAGTCCCCATCATGGCACCATTCTCATAGAAGTTACACCTCCAGCCTTACTGGTTTTGTGATACACGCATATTCAGGTTGGGGATTGGCTGATTCTGCAACATTCGAGAATTTTGCTGGCGGCGGACATCATGAAGATCAATCACGTCTCCATCGGTAATCTCTCTAACATCATTACCAGAATCCGCATTCACGAGCACAAACCCAACAATTTCAGCTGTAAGCGAACCAAGCACTGCAACAGCCTGAGCGCCACTGGATGCTACTGCTGTTGATATTGCTTGGACGACCTTCGGAGTGTGTTCATCATCCAACAAGATTGTGGCAATCCCGGAAGGACGCGATGAGACACTGTACTCAACTGCAATCATACCACCCTGCAAGGGTGTATCTCCCACGACAGTCACTCCAACTATGACTGGTCCTGCATCCAGATTCAGCGATTCGCATGAATCAATTAAGACTTCACCAAGATCATGAATCTCCAAAAGGCCTCCTGTTGTCCCATTAAAAGTTACAAAGAAGGTTTCCTCGACCATATTCCAGTCATCTAACGTTTCCAAGACATCCACTACCTCAAGCCCTTGGTTTGTGATTCTGTCGGCAAGCGTAGATTCAAAGGTTGGCGAGTTGTCCTGAGATAGAATTTGCTCCACAATGTTGTCCTCTTGGTTGTCATTTACAGCAAAGTCAATTGCCACGATGTTGTATGTTTCGCTGAGTTGAGTTTGCGCCGCAACTGATATGTCATTGACATTGATCTGATTGTTTTGCAGGTTGGTTGAGTCAATGGCAGCAACAAAGGCTGAAAGAAGAGGGCCCTGAGGTAGATTGCCACTGATTGGTGTTTCTCCGAGATGCTTGAGGCCTTTAGAGGATACCCCAAGCAACGTGATGAATCACTTCTTCAGTACTTTCAACGATACACAGACTACCAGCAACTTCGAGCTCTCATTCAAGATATCTCTTTAGATCTTACCAATGAGACTGAAATTGACAACTTCATTGCTGGCACCAAGCATGCAGATTTCTTGAATCGATGCAGTCGTGATGAACGCCGACAAGCTCACAATCTCCACAAGTATCAAGGCCATCAAATTGTTGCAAACTTTGGAGAAGATGCTTGCAATGGTTGATAGTCCTGCCCATCAAACTCGACAGTCCCTTCCACGATCCAGAAACTATTCTACTCCAGCTAGACGACCTTCTTTTGGATCCATGCAACCCCGTGGTAGCTACATTCCATCACCACAGCGATCTACACCACCTGCTAATCGTGCATCATCAACTCCACTTTCAGTTCCAGTTCATCACCTCCAACTTGGCTCAGAGGCACCTACACTGTCCACTACAACTTCTGAGGAAACTTTGGACTCTCTTACTGATGATGCGTCTTCCATTTCTTGCCCTAATCACAAGAAGGAGTTGTTTCATGTTTACAGTGCTTGTATCCATCGTATCCAGGCACAACCTGCCTTTGCTGATGCACCCAACTGTATCGTTTGTGGTTCTCGACACAGATTTGATGATTGTGATGTACTCCACAACACCTCATTTCTTCGAGATCATTACATCCGTTGGTGCCAACAGTTACGTCGAGAGACTTCAGCTCGCGATAGAGCCTTTCCATCCAATCCTACATCTGTTTCTACCAACTTTGTTGACACCTTCACTCCCAGTCCTGACTCCCGTTCTGACTCAAGTGAAGATCCAATGGCGGATTTTCAGATGGGCCGCTCCTAAACACCATGGAGCGCCGCCCAACTTTGGTCCTACCCACACTGCATTCTTGCGGGACGAATATGGAGACCCCAATAGGGCTTTCGTCTCCCGCTGATCACAGTCTCCATTCTTCTAGTTCAACGTTGCCAGTTTCCAATGTTTCTTCCAGTCCATGTCCAACTGCTCCCTGCATTGAGACAGTCTCTGATGACGACCCTACTGATACCTCTAGTCTTCCATCTCTGTGTCATCTTCCATCTCTGGACAGCTCCTCTTCAGTTGCTTCCATTGATTCTTTGGATTCTTTGGATTCTTTTGATGAGGGGAGGGCTCATTTGAATGCCCTTGATTGTGCTACACCTTTTTGGACTTCCAACATTGATGTATTAGATGATCCATCAGCTCCCATTCCACCAGAAATTGAAGCACCTTCAGTCGATGACGATCCAGACACTTTTCGAGCTCAGATTGACACTGGAGCACATGTTACTTGTACAGGTACTTTGTCCTTGCTGCACAACTATCAACCTTTCACTCCTTCTCATCCTTGTCCGGTGAGACTTCTCCCAGCAACTGAAGGTTCTGATGCTTATCCCAAAGGTGTCGGATATCTGCATGTTCCTGCTGCTACACCATCTGGTTTCCTTGCAGTTCGAACCTTCTACAGTCCCACTCTTCGAACAACTCTCATTGACGAAAGAGACTTTGTGAAAGCTGCTGGTCTAAAATCCAATGACTTTCAATCTGAAACACTTCACAAGTACAATGATGCTGGTACCTTCACCTATACTTGTGTCCACAAACTTCGTCAATCCCAGAATCTACTTGTCCACGGTGTACTGAAACATGGCAAGTGTTACACTGCTTCTTTACTACTTCCCTATCCTTCTGATACTGAGATGGCTGTGCCCTTTCCTACCGACGATGACTTCACTGAGGCTTGCCACCAAGCAACCCTCTTCAACATCTTTTCCTACCAAGAGTGTGAGCTTGAAAATCTCCGAAAAGAGCTTTCTGTCACCCCAAAATCCTTCCACAATCTCCCATACCATCAATACATTCAACACCACACTCCCATCAATGCTATCAAGGAGTCTACTGAAAGACTTCTGTGGCACCAACGACTTGGCCATCCTAGTGACTACTACCTCTTTCATGCC